ACTCCTCGATATAGTCTGCATAAAACGAGTGTTCGGGCCCCTCCAAAAAGTGCACACTCGTCTCCACCGCCTTGGAATCGGAGTCTGAGATTTGGCACGAACTCTGCAAAGATTGCAATCTGGCCAGCAGTAAGTTTGCACGTTCCAGTCCCTCTTTCCGCCACTTCTAACTGGGTCACCTAGAATCTTTACGGATGAGGAGCAAGAGAACAACATTTTCATTGCTTTAAGCCAAAGACAGTTGATTAGAGCTGGTTTGTTTCCCTATAAAGTTATTGTCCTTGAAAAAAATATATAAGCATGCACACACGCACATGTACACTATAAATGCATGCTTACCTATACAGATGGTTTTTACGTGTTGTTGTCCACAAACGATAAATCCTAACCCAGAGTAGAGGGGTTTGGTGCCCGTGCCACCTGGATTATAGAGCAAAATGCTGTAGCCTCCACATGTAACCCTAGAAAAAACACATGCTTTTTCTTTGAGCCAGACCCGTCTCACAGAGAGGCACACCTAAGTAATTTCGTGGGTATAAGCTGTAGGGAAGGTGGCCTCAGCCTCTGCGTGCATCACAACCCCATTTCTCTGCTAGACTCCATTTTCCATAGCCTAATACAGTGTGAGTGCTAAATACCTCTGTACTGACGGGGGCCTTGTCTTTCAAACCCTGGGCATGCGGTCACTGCAGGGCTGACTTAGGAGTCTGGGTAGGGAGTTATCTTCCCCAGTGGAAGCCTGCAGAAAGGTACCAAAAGAAAGAAAGGAGAAGGTTTGCTGACCTGCCATGATGTTTGTTTTTGTTAGAGGAAGAATAATCCTTGCTTGGTGCCAGCCGATCTTGGTAACGATTCTTTGGCGATCAAGCTGTTTAATGAGCGAAGGAGATGAACACTAGCTCTTATCAATAACCATCTCCTCTAGGGAAGACTTCCTGGAGTTGGGGGGAAGAGCTGGAGGAAGCAAAAAGCATTTAGGGAAATATGTATATGTGAACGTTCTCAGCAAGTCAACATTTCAGAGTTGGGCTCCAATAATTAGGAGGTAAATTGCCATGCGGGAATGTTAATTCTTTTGTTTGCCTGGTGTTGAGTCTGTGTAAACGAATGCCTCCCTTGATCGGGATGCTAGAGCCATTCCAGTTGGTGCTTGGTTTGACTTCAGCTGAGCTGGGGCAGGTGAGTGCGTGGGGAAGATGGCTGGGCGGCTTGCTCATCCGAAAGCTAAGACTGGATAGAGTGGGGGCGGGAGGGTGAGCTGGAGAGAAGAAAGCCTTCCACCCTCCTTCAACAGGAAAATAAAAAGGATAAATAAACCCTAATCCTGACCCTGGGGGGCAAAAATTCCAATAAAGATCCAGGTTAATTTTTGCCATTGATCCAACCTCGGATGCATTGTGAGAATTAGACAATTCTGCGGCACTCGGTTGCCAGATCGGATTGTGCAATGACCTTTTACGGGCCTGGGTGTGTGAGGCCAGCCCGCTGTTTATGCTGCAGGGGGCCGAGCGTGTGTGTCCAGACCTCGCAGCAGCTGCCCCGTCCTGCCAGGCTTGCACTTCTCACTCGCAGGCGGAGGTGTAGCTCTTGGAGCTTCTGCCTGGTCAGAAACGGGCCCAGAGTGCCGGGGCCTCAGATGAACTTGGCTGACGCGGAGCCCGAACGCTTTCGACAGAACCCAGAGTAAAAAGGGCGAACCAGTGCGAAACCACTGAGGGTAGGGGCCCCAGCCGGACTGAGGGTCTTCCAGCAGCTGCAGCCGTGGGGGCGTTCGACAAGGAGTCTGGGATAAAGGCTGGCGAGTTTGGACATTGGAAGGGAGTTGGTACATTCAGGGCCAAATTATGTGACCTTAGACACTTTTGTGTTCATGGACAAAAAATAAAATGAAATAAAACATTAAAGATTGTATTTTACGACTGCAATGGTATAAGGACGAATAGAATCCAGACTGGATTCCTTGTTATCTGGGCTTTAATAGTATAGTCATTTCATTCATGCTGGCTTTAAAGGAAAGAAGAACATTTTCGTGGGCCCCTGAAAGTATTGGGGTGCCCTGTGGATGCATCAACAGCCTTGGGTAGGTTCCTAGAAATGGGACCCTGTGGTTTGGCTTACGGACAGCTGCTCGGCCTGTTTAATCGAAGTCTTTTGATTTCGGACCCATTTAGAAGGTCCAAGGATTCCCCCAAACTGCAACCCTTAACCTGGCCTTACCTTAATATAAAGCATTGAAATTCCGAGCCCCATCCCATGTATCTTTCCCTCCCCACCCTGGTCTTCTGTAGCACGTGGCCTTCTGTCTGATAACAGCTTGCCACTTCCCTGTTGCACTCTCTGGAGAAGGCAGTGGGTTTGTGGGACCGGACGTATTCCGGCAGAATGTCTTCCTGCGGCCCCACCTGCTGGGGCTTTTGTCTCTCGGTTCCTCAGTCCAAGGTTTCCAGAAGAAATCCCTTCTGTCCTGGCTGGAGGCGTCTTTGCTGCCGAGCGTGGGGCTGGGAACCGCTAGGTGGTGCATGGCTCAGAGCATCCCTTGGATGTCAGGAAGCCACCAGTGGGGTGGGGGGTGCCGGGTGCAGGAGGAAGGGAGGGACCTTTGGGGGCAGGCTGTGGGTAGCCGGTTGCAGTCTGTGGCCTCCCTCTAAGGTTTGGTGTCGGGCGTGGCGTGCTGCTGTTGGCCTGCCTCCGAGGGAGTGCTGTCTACTCCCTGTCCCGCCGCCGGCCGCGGTGAGGACGACAGGGGCAGCTTACGTGGTGGAGAGGTGTGTGTGTGTGTGAAGCCATGGCAGGGCTCCCCAGGACAGAGGCCAAGGCCAGAGTCAAGGTCCACGGGCCAGCCAGGCTCCCGCAGAGGCTCTGCATCTTGGTGGCCCCAGTCGCCATGCCAATGCAAACAGCCAACGGGAAAGAGACCCCGACTCCTTTTAAGCACCGGAGCGGAAACGCGCCGTTCTGTTGAACGTAGTCATCCTTCCGCGTGCATTTCGGGCCAGAGGTCAGATTGCCTAGGACGGGATTACAGGGAAGAGGGAGGGGCATCCATCTGTCTCTTGGGATATGAGTAATGTCTCTCACCCAGTTGGCACTGCAGAGGTTGACTGGGCACGTCTCTGGGGCCTCCTGGAAAAGTGGTGGTTTCCATCCCGGAGGTGAAAACCGTGCCTGGAGAGAGGGTGGGGTGGTTTGCCCGAGGTTCCTCTTGGGGGGCTACAAATTGCAGACCCTCAGGCTGCCTCCCCAGACCCGCTGCGTTCCAGGTGACCCTCGGCTTCCCTGGGGAACTTTTAAAAAAGACCCAGTGCCCAGGCCTCACCCTGTGCCAAACAGAGCCTCTGGGGATGGGACCCAGGCTTGGGTACGACTTTCCGGCTGCCCGGGGGAGGAGGGGCGGTGATTCCGTGAGTAGCCAAGAGTGAGAACCTCAGCTGTAGGCCTCTCCTCCCCTGTCCCCCTCACCCCTCCATAGGGTCCCATTACTGTCTGTCCCCAGTCTCCGCCTCGAAACGGGCAGAACTGAAACGTCACGGGTGCAGGGTGAAGGGTTGGATTTACTCGTGTTAGAATTCTCATCTCCCCTGGGGGGGGAGGGACGCTGAAACCATGTCCACTCATCTGGGGCTTTAGCTCGAATGGATGAGTGTATCGTGGATGGTTTCCACCTAATGATAAACTGAAAATGGGTCGCATCACGTAGAAACGGGGAATCCACTCCGGATGCAGAGTTGGAGCGGGAGGGCATGGTGCAGTTTTGCATTCTCCATTCTGATGAGTGTTCTAGCCTTTCGCCCAGCAGCCAGTTAGGTCCCAAGTGTGGTATGTGTGTGTATATATATATATATATGGTTCACCAGGGCTAACGGTGTCATGTTGCTTGAGCTTGGTCCTGGGACAAGATCGAGGGACATGGCAGTGAGAGGCCGGCCCTGGGGATGTGTGTCGCTGGCATTGGGGGAGGGGTGCTGGAGCCCAGGGGGACCCGCAGTCCGATCTGGGGGCAGGCGTTGGTCGATGGGCACTAGCAACAGGGTCCCAGCCCAGCCCTGTCCTCAGCAGCTCAGAGACCCTGGAGTGACGACGTGTGACATGTGCCCCATGAAGAGACAAAACACCCCCCAGACAATCCCTTCTCTTGTGTGTGAAGGTTACAGATTTTCTGTTTCAAACCTGCTGGTGTTCTTTTCCCTCTTTTTTCTTTCTTCTCCCTACGGGTCTAGAGTGATTTCTTTGAGCCTAATGATGGGGAAGTCTAGAATGGGGCTATTATCTTTAAACACCTTTTGCAATGCTACTCTTCCCGGTGTCTGAATTACATTGAACATGGGTCGGATCTAAAGATTAAACATCTATTTTAGCAGCAATAACAGCAGCAGCTATGCTGATATCTGTGCACGTTTGCTCAGGGGTTACAGGGATGGGGTGAAACAGAAACCCACAAAAGGAACGCATAATTGGTAATAGTGTAGCTGGTATTTATTGAGGGCTTGAGAGGCAGCCGGCGTGGAGCTAGATGCTCCTCATGGGTCGCCCCCTTCCGTGAATCCAGAACGTAAAAAAATTCAGAAATAGAATCACAGGAGTCTTTGAGTACAAGGCCCAACGAAAACAGAGCAACTCAGGACTGCGGCAGTAAGTAGATAGTTTTGTAGTAAAGGTCTTTTGTGAATTTGAGTTTTGTTATAGCTTGAAAAAAAATTACTATCCGGCATATTATCCATTTCTATCTTGGTTTATTCTAGGTCAAGTTTGTGATCGTAATAAACCATTTTTCTTTGAAAGTATTCTTCTTCGTTTGGCCGTGTCCCCAATTGACATAGGAAAGGGGTTGCTTCCTTTTTTTCTGATCAATGTAGTTGTTTTCTGTATCAAAGAGTAAGTATCAAAAAGCAAACTCCTTTGTGGGAGGGGGGTGCTATCGGGCAGTGAGGGACCACTTCCGCCGCATTTACGCTTGAGATGAGTTTCATCATCCTGATGTAATTTTCCCCTTATTTTTCTAGGTGAAAGCAGAGGTCCCTGGCTGACTCAGTGGGTGCTTTGAACCAAGAAGGAAGCAGGAGGAAAAGGTGAATTGGGCGTGGCAACCCCAGCACAGCTGCGTGCCGGCTTGGGGGTTTTGTTCCTTCTTCAGCGCACCCCCTCACCGGGACATCCCTTACGCCTCTGCACGCCAACCGGAGTGGCAGCCGGCAGGCAGGAGCCTTGCGATTAGCCATCAGAGAAGGCCCAGAGACACAGGTACAAACAGCGGTCACGATTAATTCAGGGCAGGCTGTGTGTGCCTGGCTTTTACTTGGACTCACTCATTTGCACCTATGGCAACTCCGGCAGGTAGGCCCTGTTACACCCAGCCTACAGATGGGGAGACTGAGGTACAGTCACTTGGCCAAGGCGGCATGTTTTTAGTTACTGAGGGAGCTGGGGTTCAAAGCCAGGCCTGTGTCATCACTGTGGCTTATTGCCGTGTCGGGTGACAGTGAATGGTCCCAGCTCCCTGGCGCACCATGCCTCAGCTCCTGCTACCTGCCTTTTCCACCTGAGCCCACTGCAGGGCACAAAGGTCTTGCAGCGTGCAGGAGGAACCGGCAGGCAGGTGAGTCAGGGCCTGGGGGTCCAGGAGACAGGGGAGCAGGTGGATTGCACCTGCTGGCCCTCCAGAGTGCAGAGACGTCCGTGGGATAGCAGAGCTTCCTGGCGTGCTGCCAACTGAAGTCTGCTCCCAATACAGCAGGCTGCGGAGCAAGGGGCCACCCTCCCACCGCGAGGGCTGGATTGCCCGGGCCGTCTGGGGGCAGCACCCCACAGGCAGCTGCAGTGCTGACTCCAAGGCTTGGACGTAGGTACTAAGCTGGAAGCCCAGACGTGGGCATGTTTGGTTGGAGGCAACAGATCCTCTCTGTTTCCCTGCAGAGCCTGGCAGGGGGAGTGCTGTGCAATGCAAACAAGGTTTTTATAACCCGACAGATTGTGTTACAGATGTGTCTGTCCATAGATGTGGTGCAGCAGCAAAGCATGTCCACTGGAGGGCCTGGGTTCGAATCCAACTTCCACTGCTTCTTTGGTATGTGACTAAGGGCCGGTGACCTTCACTTTTCCAGACTTTGTTTTCCCCATCTGTAAAACGTGGATAATAAAGATATCTTCCATGTTGTGACGTGAAATGAGAGAATACGCAGTTAAGTGCCCAGCACAGTGCCTGGGACATACTAAGCATGCAATAAATGTCAGAGGGTGTTTTCTTCTGTGTTTTAAAAATCTTAGTAGGTGGGAATATGATCTTGGGTAAATTATTAAGCCTCAATTTCTTCATCCGTAAGACGGTGATGCTAATACCCAGTCTCCTCAGGGGAGAGACGGAGTGTTACATGAAATAACACAAATCAGGAGTCCAGATCGTAAGAGATGCCGTATCCCTTAGTTCCCTTCCCTCACCCCACACAAGTGGAGGGGAAGGAAGGCGGCCGGGGGTTTTACCATCCACTAGAATACTGGGTCCTGACAGTTATCGCAAAGCAACCGTCCATCTCACCCTCCTCTTCCTCCTCCTCCTCCTCTGGGCTGCTCCCCCCATCTTGGCTCTGGCACAGGTCGGGGCAGGATACCCATAAGGGGCTCCAGTCTTTGCACGTTCTTTCCTTCCACCCCAAGGTCATCCCGTTTGTGTCTTCCCTAAGCCTCTTTCTTAAGCCCAGTCTTGGACGTGCCACTTTCTGATCTAATGAAACCGGTCGTGGCCCTCTGTTCATCGCCCCAGCACCCAAATCCCACCGGCACCCGATCTCATTCCTGTCACTTCCCACTCTCAGCCATGCTCACCGGCGTGTATCCCACCCCGAGACTGGATTTCTCCTGCACCCAGCCCCTGTGCTCGGCACACCCCTCCGTATGTCACCATCTGTGCCTGTCACCTTCTTAAAACCCCCAACGGTGGGCCCTGGGGCTGGCTGCTCCTCCCCTTGGCCCACTGTCTCCCCTGCAGGGCTTCACCCGCAGTTGGCACCTTGAGAGTAGGGTGGGGGGCCCTGGGGGCTCATTTCTGTCACTCAGGGGTCTTTTTTCACTTCCCAGCCCCGCCCCCCTCCCCCACTCATCCCAGCACCCTAGCAACCCAGACTGGGCGCCCTGACCATGGTGTGCACCTGCTGGTTGGGGAGCCCGGGTGGGAGCCGGGCCCGGAAGGAGAGTCCACCGCCGGAGTCGTTCTCCAGCGCCGCCCGAGCCCGGGTGTGTGTGGGTAGGGGGTGGTTAATGAGTGACACCAAGGGGATTTCCAGGCCCGCTGTGGGCACTGCCTTTCTGGAAACGGCACCTTCTGCCTCCGCCAGCCCTCCCCCTCCCTCCCAGGGAGACCCCACCCGAGTGCCTGCTCATTCCATGGGGTGCACAGGCCTCCCCCCACCTGGATGGCAGTGATCCCTTCCTTCATTTGTTTGTTCTTTCAGTCATTCATTCACTCGTGTAACAGGTATCTATTAGGCACCTACTGTTTGCTGGGACTGCTCTGGGCAGAGCCCAGGAGCTGAGCAAGACAGGCCGAAGGAAGCTGCTTTCTCGGAGCTTGCTTTCTCCGGGGGAGCCGGGCAGACGACAAAGAGGGAAGGACGGTAAATAATTGTCTAGTATGTAAGGAGGTGAGAGTGTGGTGGGAGAAGACAAAGCAGAGGCAGGAAAAGCAGCTCCGGTGTGTGGGCCCGAGAGGGTGGAGGGCAGGTCACAGTGTGGACTAGACAAGGTGACACTGGAGCACAGGCTTGAGGAGGGGAGGGTGGCGGCTGAGCGGCGCTTCGGGGAAGATCCCGTGGGACGGAGGGCGCGTTGAGGCCAGGCGCCGAGCGGGAGCCGGTGCGTGGTGTGTCTGAGAACAAGGGCGGGCGTGGCTGGGGCACAGCGGGGAGCTTAGCACTAGGGGGGTGACCAGAGTGACCCGCACACCAGGCAGAGCCTGGAGGCCTTGGGCCTTCCTTCCGGGGAGCTGGGAGCCACGGCAGGGCTTTGGGCAAAGTGTGCTGTGATCCGACTCGCCGTTAGAAAGGCCCCTTTGCAGGGGCCGGGGTGGAGCAGAGTGGCCTGTGGGCAGAGGACGTCGAGTGTGCCTGTCTCCCTTCCTCCCGGTCACACACACGTGGCCACAGAACGGCAGCGTGTATGGTGGCAATGAGCTGAAGAGCCACGATACCGGATCTCAGGGACTGAATCCCAGCTGCTGAGGCTGCCAGACCTGCGATAGCCTCTTGCGCTGGGGTTGTGACTTGGTACGAGGGTCCCTGTCCTCTCCCTGCTGCTTGGGGCCACCGGGGCTCACACCGGCAGATTGCAGGCCCAGCAGCAAAAGACGGAAATGAAAGGAAAAATGAAGGGAGTGGGGAAAACGGATAGGATAGGAGGGGAGGACCAAATGTGCCCGTTCTCCCGTCGCAGTGGCGTTAGGGCAGTGAGGGTGCAGTTTTTCTCAAGGGACACCCGATGGTGACATTATCACGCCAGGGAGCAGCTAGCATTGCCGGAGCGCATCCGCCCTGGTCTCCCCAAAGCTCTCGGGGAGCTCCCTCTCATCCTCCTCCTCCCTCCACGAAGGTACTGCTGGGCAGCTGCAGGAGCCAATGGGTCGGCCCTCGCTCCTCTTTTGTTTCTGTCGTCCTGCAGCTGTAGGCGTCATCGAGGCGTGGCAGGCCACCCTCAGAGCTCGTATCTGCAGCGTGTGTTTCCTAGAATGCTTCCGGGAGGACCTGGTCTTAGCGGTTGTTAGCGAACGTCCTGTGGTTGCACGTGGTCTGGAAACAGCCCGAGAGGGAATGAACGCCGCGTGCCCTTCTTTGGGGGACTTCTCCGTCACTCCTGCGTGTGGCAGACAGCTGGCCGAGGGCCGTGGCCAGGACCCCCTTCTTCGTGACAAAGCCTAGAAACGGGCGCGTGCTCTGTTGGAAACACGTGGAGAAAGGAGAGGGCCGTGGGAGTGGGGCAGTTGGTACCTGTGTGTTTCTCCCAGGGTCGGATGTGTTTCCGAGTGACCCCCTCCACCCAAGCTCCTGGGCAACAGCTCTGCTGCTGGGGACACTGTCCCGTTTAGTCCCTCGAGTTCTTCCGCTTCCAGACCAATGGCCCAGGGAGATGGAGCGAGATGGCAGCCTTCATGGCCGGGTCCCTGGGGCGGGAGTCATGAACCGTAATATCACAGCCCTGCTGCCTTGCGTTGCTGTTGCATACTTTTTGCAGAGAACTGTCGTGTCCACTACCTTACAGCCCCAAGGCTCCCGTGTGAGGTCACGGGAAGGAACGACTATTTTTAGAGATGAATAATCTGACCCCCAGGGAGGACACGCTCTCCCCCGGATCTGTGGCGTGTGTGCGGTAGGCAGGGGAGAGGTGCCATGGCTCGGAGCATGAGTTCTGCCGCGACCGTAATTGAGAGTGAAACCCGGGGCTCTGGGAGAGAGAGGCCAGTCCCCGTGCTGAGTGCCGGCGGGCGGGCGGCGGGATGAGCTCACCGGGACCAGAGGCTTCCAGAGCACTGGCAGACGGAACTTCCCCTCGGGCTCCAACTGTGAGTCACCGTGGTGGTGCGTGTCCCTGCTGCGGGCCCCGTCCCCAGGCCTCCCACTTCACCCCGGGACATCGTGGTCACCGCTCAGGCCTGGTGACTCACTTGGCCTCTTGAGCCAGCTCTGGGGGGTGGAGTCTGGCTCCTCCTGGCATCTGGACCCTGGGTGCGATCTGCGCAGCGGGGCTGGCTGCTCTCTGCGGGGCTGGGTGCGAGACGTGTGTCCCGGGAAAGCCCCCCGCCCTCTGCAGGGGTCAAGGAAAAGCCACCGGCTGCCGCAGCAAACGGGTTTCAAACGCAGCTCGGAAAGTCCGAAGGGCTCTGTGGAGGTGAGGCGGCTTCCTGAGTCCCCGGGGGTGAGTTCGGCTGTGACACCTGAGAGACAGGGAAGAAGCAACCGCAGGCTCCAAGAAGAGCAAGCGGAGTTCACCCAAAAGGCCAACGGCTGGCTGGGTGTCAGATTCCCCACCACGCCCGCCCGGGCTCCGCCTCTGCCCTCGCTTCTCCTCCTTGGTTTTCACCTTCCAAGGAAAGAGACAGTGTCATCTTTTCTCAGCCTGCCCGGCTCACACCTGCCTGGAGCCCCTGGCGGGGAGACACCCAGGGCCGTCCACCCTGATGTCATCTGTGTTGATTGTCTGCTTTAGAAACCAGGTAGCGGGAGGGACTTTCTGAAGACTAAAAAAAAAGGAGTAAATCCCCACTCTATTTCAGGGAGGGTTTTTTTTTTTAACCTCTTCTTTTTTTTTTTTTTAATTGTCATGTTTTTCTCTTTCTTATGCTCTCTTTTTAGTTAAAAAAAAAATGTTAAGAGCGGCCATACGAAAGCAGGGAAAGAAGGATTACCTAAAAATGTATGTGAGGGTTTTTTTTGCTCGAATGACCTTTATCTGAAACTCATCTGAGAGATGGACACTAGAGCCACCTGGCCAGCTCAGGTGCCCAAAGCCTCGGCCACAGTGGCCGGTCCTGCCTCCCACCTGACACCCATAGGACGGAAGCATATTGACAGTCGCTGGACTCAGTTTACCTGCCTTCAGCCTCTGTCCTTCCCAAGGGTGACGAAGCTGACTTATTGCGTCACGTTTTTGTCCTTTGGTTCACCAGTTCTGGAACTTTCCACTTCCAGTGTTTTTGGTCTCCATACAGGAGGTTGGGGAGGGATGAGGGCAATGTGTAGGGTCAAGGTCAAAGGTGAGGTGGACCTACCCAACCCTCAGGCATGGGTGCCCACCTGTCAGGCCCTGTCTTTCTCACACTGCTGGCCAGGCTCCTCTTGGGACAGTAAGTTGGCCGTCCCGTGGGTGGGGCGTGGGGAAGGGAAGCAGAGACAGGGTCACTCATGGGGATGCTGTTTGACCTAGACCCTGAGGGTCAGCTCGCCAGGGTCCAGCTGACCTAGAAAATAGGTAGGTCTGAGGTATGGACATGAATAGTAGCTGGCCAAGGTGTGAGAATCTGTGTGAAAGGGTCAGCCCCTAGGTGACTCAGTCTGCCAGCAAACTACAAAAGGGAAGTGACTCACTTGCAACCCCGAACAAGAACTCCTAAGGCCAGGCCGCCAGCACCTGTCTGGGAGGTGGTTAGTTATTAACGCTGCCAGTCAGTGTCATGGGAAACCAGTGCCAGCCTCGATGCCCGACGGCAGCCGACTTCTCGCAGCCTGCAGACCGGCCCCTCCCCTTCTCACGGCTCCTCTCTGCCAGACCCCAAACGCAGAGGAGCTTACCAGGCGCTCAGCTGTGCAGTGTCCCAAGGTGCTGGGGGAAACCACAAACACTTTTTTTTTGGGGGGGGGGCCTGCTGGAATCCGGGCCTCCCAGGGGGAGCGGGCTGTGGAAGGGCTGGCCCGGCCTGCCTTGCCCTGTCCCCCACCCTGCAGGTGCTACCTCCAGAGTCCCGGTTCCTGGGGCTCCATCAGATCCACAGTGAATGCTCTTGGGGGGGGGTGCTGTGTGGGTCCAGGGGCCCCACAAAAAGGAACTCAGCCACCTCCTGTGGAGGCCCCGGATGTGAGGATCATTAACTCACGCCCCGCTGACCTCTGGCCCCGCCGACCTCTGGCACTCTCCCTGCTCCCTTCTGCTCTGCGGTCACCCAGCTGCTCCCTGGGACTGCTGAGTAGGATACAACCCCCCACCCCCCACTGAGGGCCTCTGCAGGGCAGGGGGCAGAGCTGTCACTCGTGAGTTGAGCTGGGAGCTCAGGGCGGCTTTGCTTGTCCTGTCTTTCTCCACGACTGGAAAAGTACAGGACGGGCAGCTTCTCCTCCCAGATCCCAAAAGGCATGTTTTATGGCTCCTGGGGGAGGCCCAGCCCGGGCACAAACTCTGCCTGCCCCTGCCAGGGCCCTGCCCCGCCAGCTCCCAAACTGTCAAGCAGGAGGGGACGACGGAACAGAGAGACCGGGGAGTCTCAGCCCATCAGGCTGCCCGGTGTCCAAAACGGAAGCCCAGGGCCCAGAGGGGAGAGACATCCCTGAGGCTTGCCGCCACCTCCATGAAGCCCTCACGTGCTGGTGTGAGCACAGAGTGGGCGGGGACCCCATTCGCCTGCCCCGTCTGTGGAAGGAATTAGGACACTCGCTCCCTGGGTGGCCCCGAGCAAGCCGTAGAACCGCGCCGGCAGAGTTTCCCCATCTGTAAAGTGGGAATAATAACAACACCTGTCCTGCTTACTCGACAGGGTGTGTGTGAGGCTGGCTGAGATCACCGAGCATGTGACAAGGCTCTGGGAGTGGTTAAGGGCCACCCAGATCGGGGTTGAAGCACTGGGTGCTTACGGTGATTAGCAGCAAAGCAAGGGCTGAGGTCTGTGCTCCTCCAGTGGGTGCCGGCTTTACAGGCACCCACCTGTGGCTTAAGAGCTTCTCGGGCCTCCCACAGCCGATAAATCACCCGCCGGTGGGTGCGCTGTGTCCGGGCTCCAGCACGAGCAGGCAGCCTGCCCTCGCCGGCTGCAGAGTGGGCGCCTCTGCCTTCTCGCCCTTTCTCAGTGGGCCGGGCAGGGGCAGTAATAGGTCCCAGGGCCCTGTCCCTCAGGTTTTCCTCCTTCAACTGCCCATAGGGAAAGTCTGGTGGCGCTGAGTCCCTTTCTCGGTTTGCATAATGTGGATATAGGTGTCTCCTGCCCTGGGATTTGTCCTGGTTTGTCACCCGCTTGCTATCAAGGAGAAGAGAGGCACGTAGGAGTGTTAGATTTCATCCCGGAGTGCAGTATACCAAGGAGGTGCTCCCCAGATAGTCATTGGAGATATACATAGTCTAGGTCTTAGCATTTCCTTTCTCATGGTTTATTTGGCCTGGTAGAGTCCCCTGTGTTTGCTGAAGGGACGAAGGTTGAGATTTAAGGAGCATCACCAGTCGGGCAATAGTATCTGCTTAGTGACTACCCAGTGCCAGCACCATGCTCAGTGGTTTGGGTACAGTCTTTGCTCTCATAAAATCAAACTCTTTTTTCACCACCTAACTCCACCTCCCGTCCAGACCCACGAAGTCCTTTAAGTCTTTCTGGATAGATGCTTCCTGCTTGAACACTTTGGTGATGGAGAATTTTCTCTCTCCTGAGGCCACCCACTCTAACCATGGCAACTCTAGTGGTTGGGAAGTTTGCTCATTTAGAGAGTGTCCACATGGCTCTGGATACTTCCCTCTGTAGGTCCTAGACTGTGAACAGGGCATGGGAGTATGGCATTATGGCTGCACTGTAGGGTGCAGACCATAAAGAGATTGATCCCGGGACCTGGAAGAATCAGAGAAGATCTTGTAGAGTTACTGAGATTTGGAGGGGAAAAAATGGACTGAAAGAGAGAGAGAAAGAGACAGAGAGAAGCTGCAGGTTATATCTATAGTAGTTTGAGCAGTGTCCTCTCAAAATTCATGTCCACCTAGATCCTCAGAATGTGACCTCCTTTGGAAACAGGGCCTTTGCAGATATAATTAGCTAAGGATTTCAAGATAAGATCATCCTGGACTCAGGCCCTAAATGCAATGACAAGTCCTTAGAAGAGAAGGGGATACAGAGAAGAAGGAGCTATGAAGGAGGAGGCAGAGGTTGGCATGGTGCATCCACAAGCCAAGGAGCACCCAGGACGGCCTGGAGAAGCTGGGAGAGAGGCAGGGAACAGATTCTCCCTAAAAGCCTCTAGAAGGAACCACCTTTGTCCATACCTTGATTGTGGACTTCTGGCCTCCTGAACTGCGAAGGAGTGAATTCCTGTTGTTTTAAGCCACCAGTTGGTGGCAATTTGTTGCGACAGTCTTGGGAAACTGATACACCACCCAACTGCAAGGAAAAGGAGAAAATGGGGAGGGAAAAGTAACCATGTTCAAGTCTCAAAATAGACGTGAGGTGTGGGCCGGGGACATTGGGTCATATGGCAAGGAGACTGCACTAGTTCCCTTGTTATGGAGGAGGGTCTGCAGTTCACATGGCCCCTGATGCCAGGCTGAGGTATGCGTGGAGGAGAGCCTTTCTGCCAGGACCCTAGGTGGTCTTCAGAGGCCAGCAAGGTGCCTACCCTGGATCCCCTCACTCTGTTTTACCTGTCTCTACTAAATTTCCACCAGTTCCTGCTTCTCTAGCCATAGAGGGATCAAACCATCCTTAACACTCATACCACTCTGCAAATAAATATGTAACGTATATGATCACAGAAGTAATTATGAGATGTTTGCCATTTTTAAAAATTTATAAAAGCAAGGGAAATATTCAGGAATCATACTCAGTTATATGATATTAATCTTTTATTAATATGATGTTAATCTCTCATTACTAAGTAATAGCTCAATATTTTCATGGTTGTTTAGCATTTTATTGATTTTACTGTAGGACTATGACATAGTTATTTTTTGCACAGTTCTTTGATGTTTCCAATTTTTTTTTTTTTTTTTTTTTGCTGTGAAATAAGGCTCTGATGACTGTCCTGTAGCAAGGACTTTATTCACAGCTGTACTAGTTTCCTGGGGCTGCTGTAATGAATTAGCGCAAACTTGATGGTTTAAAACAACACAAATATCTTCTTCTACAGTTCTGGAGGCCAGAAGTCTGAAATTTTGACTTCCAGAGCTAGAATCAAGTCATCAGCAGGGCTGCTTTCTTTTGGGGGCTGCAGAGGAGAATCACTCCTCACTTCTGATGGTTGCCGGCATTCCTTGACTTGTGGCCACATCACTCCAGTCTCTGCCTTGGTGGTCACATGGCGATCTCCTCTTGGTATTCAAATCTCCCTCTGCCTCCTTCTTAAAATGACACCTGTAATTAGGTTTGGGGCCCACTTAGATAATCCAGGATAATCTCCCCATCTTGAGATCTGTAATTTAATCCCATA